GTAGCCTGGTTCGTTTGCTTTTTTCCGGGAGATCCATCCTAAAAACGCTGATTTACGTTTTTTCGAAACTTGCGGCATGTTGATTTCGCACTGTTTATATTTACATTTTGAAAGCTGTCAAAATCAGCTGGACGGTCAGACGGCAGTGTGGCCAGATGGTCAGTGCAAATTTGATTAAGAAATTGTTTATTTATTTTTTTTAATACTAATTACAAAAAATTAATTCCAAATAAAAAAAATATTATGTTGTGATAACAGTTGACTATTAAAACATTTTTTTTTAATTTTCAAAGCAAAAACGCATTTTCAATATAATTTTCTTGGAAAGCAAATTGACATCACTGGACGTGATGATTGATGATTGCTTACGCACATTGTTGCATGCAGAGTGTATAGTAAACACGAATCGAATTTTTTGTGTTTGATTCATGAATCAATATTTTTTTGTAAAAATAAGTGAAATTGGTGCAGTTTTGGCTACAATAAACATCAGACCAGGTAATTAGTTGTTGCAGAAGTGCTGTGATGCAGTACAGCAGTTGTTTTATAAGTGGATATTTGAAAACGGAATGAAACAAATTTTGTGGAAAAAGTGAACAGGGATACAACAACAAGTGTATCAAGAAGAAGCAGAATCGGAACATTGATTCGTGTGATAAAAATAGCAATGCTGCATGTTTTTTAGTGACTTTTCTTAGCTGGAATATGTGTAATTAAGTGTCTAGTATGTTGTCATGCAATATTTCCCAGAACAATAAGACATATTGTGCACATATTCAGTTTTTGACTAATTGGTGATTTTTCACACACACTTTGATGGCTTCTTCTTCTTCTTCTTCTTTACTGATTCGCCATACTTAATTGACTTCCCAATTCACGTTAACATACCGCAGTATGCGTTTCAAATGAGCCCAATGCTCATCGGTTGGACAGCTTTGAAATTGGCTGCAATAATTGACTGCCGCAAACAGATCAGGCCGAGTGGTAAGTGTAACATACATTAATCAGCCCACCAACTCGCGGTACGGCTTGGAAGTACGCTTCAATTCATCACCTTTCTGCAGTCGAAGACGGCACTCCATCGGAACAGAAATCGGTTTGCACTCAGACATGTTGAATCTTGTTAACAGGGTCTCCAAATATCTGCGCTGGCTGATTCGCATGATTCTCTCATCGATGTCCCTCTCAATTTTCATTTCGAGAAAACAGGATACCTCCTTCGAATCCGTCATTCGAAACTCCTTCGACAAACAGCTCTTGATGACCTTGATCTGCTTCAAGTCGTGACCGATAATCAATATGTCGTCTACATATAATAGCAAAAACACCATCTTGCTACCTTGGCTTCTGTAGTAGAGACACGAATCATTCTTGCTACGCTGAAAACCGAGATTGGTGATGAAACTGTCAAACTTGTCATTCCAGACCTTTGAGGCCTGTTTGAGGCCATAAAGCGTCTTCCTCAAACGGCATACTAATCCTCCTCCTACTTCGTAGCCTTCGGGTTGCGACATATAGATTTCCTCTGCAAGATCTCCATTGAGGAAAGCCGATTGAACATCCATTTGATGGATATGCATCCGTTCTTTGTTCGCCACAGCTAACAAGGCTCTCAGTGTGTCTACTCTAGCAACCGGGGAATAAGTTTCAGTGTAGTCGTAACCGAGACGTTGGCTGAAACCGCGTGCAACCAGACGCGCCTTATACTTGTCTGGCTCATCTCCATTCCCGGGTTTAATCCTAAACACCCATTTACAAGACACCTCGTTCCGCCCCTTGGGAAGTTTTACTAGATCCCATGTGCTGTTTCGCTTCAGAGCATCCAGCTCCGCCTGGATGGCCACCTGCCATCTTGGCCAGTCATCCCTCTTCTTCAGCTCTGCTATGGTACTCGGCAAGTTGTCGACGTACTCCATTGCTCCAAAAGCGAATCCCGCGAACGTCATGTCATAATCCTGCTGCCATACAGGAGGCTTCCTGTTCCGGGTTCCAGTTGTTGGTTCACCACTTGCATCACCACCATCAATCCGAGTTGCTTCATCGTTGTCCTCTTCGCGCGTGGTGTCATCACAGCTATCGAAACCCTCTTCTTCGGAGCCATCTTCATGATCCGACTCGCTATGATCGCCACCTTCGCTCTGCAACTCCTCCTGGGAACTCTCATTCGTAATTGATTCACTCGATACACGAATCATCGTTGTTATCGATTTCTCCTTCTCGATCGACTCCGCTTTGGCATTCTCGTCAATGATAACATCGCGAACTGTGACAATCCGTCGTTGTTTGGCATTCCATACACGATACCCGTTTGCACCGTAGCCCACGAAAATTCCCTTACAGCTTTTCTCGTCCAGCTTCCTACGGGTTTCCTTCGGAATGTGGCAATAAGCCGGAGAGCCGAAAACTTTCAATTTCGAAACGTCCGGTCGCTTACCATTCCACATCTCCGCTGGTGTCACTTTCTGCCCAATCGCACAAGCAGGGCTCCTGTTCGCTAGAAACGCCGCCGTTTCAATCGCTTCTCCCCAGAACGTTTTGCTTATGCCGGAGTCGAACAGCATCGAACGGGCCTTCTCCACGAGCGTTCGATTCATCCGTTCGCTCACTCCGTTTTGTTCGGGGGAGTACACACAGAGATTATTTTACTGGGGTCAGTAATTTTTTACTGGGTTTTCAAACAGCTGAAAAAGTCAGTAAACTGAAAATAACGGTCACACGTAATGCAACGAACAATTTTAAAATATTTTATTTTTATCATCAAATAAATGTAATAAGAACACAGTCTGTATAAATTTCAAGAAAAAATCACTTTTATACAATTTTTACAATTTTTTTAAGTTTACTGACTTTTTCCGCTGTTCAAAAACCCAGTAAAAAATTACCGAACAGGGAGGCCGTGATTTTGTGTGTAAGGAACTGTGAACTCCATTTTGATTCCCTGCTGCTGGCAGAACGAACGCATCTGTTTGCCAACATACTCCCCACCGTTGTCTGAACGCAGGCGGGAAATCTTGGCAGTTGCTTGCGCCTCGTAGTCCTTAAAGCAGCTGGCAACCTCGTCTTTTGACCAATCGTCAATGAAAGTGACGAAGTATTTCTCCTCACTCCCCCGCATAAACGCGAACCATAAATTGACCTTACCTAAAATGGTTAAAAATTGTTTATAATCCCTGCTAAACTTTAACTGAAATGGTTATGGAACTTTACATGAACGTTTAATGATAAAGTTTCAACCTTATGTATTATGGTTTTCTGGAACTGGACCTTACAAATAATGGGTTGTTAAGAACCATTACCATTCCAAATTCTTGTTTTCTCCATACATTTTCAGAAAAAGAACTATATAAGAACGTTTTTACTTATGATTTGAGAACATTAATGGTAATGGTTATGGTAGTCAGTAAGGTCCATTAATGGTTTTGTATTATCGCTCAACTTTACGTGGAATATATCGTGAATTGATAATTAGTAAATTACAGGCAACCAATTCGCGATATATTCCACATAAAGTTGATCGATGTTACAAAACCATTCGTGGACCTTACTGACTACCATAACCATTACCAGTAAAGTTCTCAAACCATAAGTTAAAAGGTTCTAATATAGTTCTCTTTCCGAAAATGTGTGGAGAAAACAAGAATTTGGAACGGTAATGGTTCTTAACAACCCATTATTTGTAAGGTCCAGTTCCAAAAAACCATAATACATAAGGTTGAAACTTTATCATTAAACGTTCATGTAAAGTTCCATAACCATTTCAGTTAAAGTTTAGCAGGGATTATAAACAATTTTTAACCATTTTAGGTAAGGTCAATTTATGGTTCGCGTTTATGCGGGCCAACTTCCCGGTGTCACCGGTCCGCAAATGTCGGAGCGAGCTTTTTTCTAACTGTGAGACCGACTATAGTCGCTATATTCATAGTCAGGCGGATAGAATTTCGATCCATCAAAAAGCGGAACCAATTCAATATATTGTAGACCAACAATTGAAAAGGCACTATCAACTTTTATAAACAAAACGTTGATTATTCTTTCCTCGCCAATCGAACACAAATTACCGGCATCATCGGATAGGGGAAACTTTCCTCAACCCAAAGATGGTGTTAGTTTGCGTAGGCAAGCCTTGAGTCACGAGAAAAGGGTTTCCGAAGTTTTGTTCGCAATAGCTGATGTGCTCTTTTCTGTTGTTGGTCATGATTTGCTCGATTGGTTCCGCTATAAGCCATTTTACGAGACGTTTTGATGACAGTTCCTGGCGGGCCGCTCGTGGCATTGTTATTGTTTACGTCTGATATTTTTGTTTTGATTCTCTGCACGGCCAACAAAAGTAACTCACGAGTGTATGAGCTTACCACGGATTTACCCAAAAGTAAGCAAGCTAAACACACTCCGTGAGTCACTTTTGATGGCCGTGTAGTTGCGAATGAAGATATTCGGCCCGCCAGTAAATGTCAAAATTAGTAAACAGAATAAAATCAGCTGACTCGATCTGTCTCGTAAAATGCCTTATTTGACGGTTCAATTGGTTCCCGAGATTCTATCCGCCAGACTATGAATATAGCGACTATAAGACCGACTGGTTGAAACCCCGCCGAGAAAAAGCGGTGGGTGCATCTCAGTGGGTAACGCGTTCTTCGGGCGATAGCGGTACGAATATTGGCGTACGTCACTGTAGAACGCGATAATCAAAACAGACAAAATAAAAACCTCCGCTTGCTTGCCTGTCAAGCATTCGGAAACGTCAGCGTAATCGCTAAAGATAACAAATTTACTCGTCACCATTGGCGTTGACGGCGACTCTGTAGCTCTTTACTCCTATGAGAAAATCCATAAGCAAACGTCAGACTGTGCGTGAAACATGGCGGACTTTGTACTATCCTTTCACTCCACCGAAAATTCCCATAAGAAACTGTCTATATTTGCTTGAAGAGCAAATTTTTCGACGGTGCCGTCAACGCCAATTGTGAGTGCACCAAAAGAGATTTACATACATCGGTCGCAGCTGGTTGTATTTTGTGAAAAATTAGCATCTATTGTAATGTAATAAAAATTCTTGGTTTATACCATTGCCGCAGTTAGTTGTGCGTGTTGGTCGAATGTTGAGAGACTAGATTCGTTTGAAGCAGTTGTAGTTGTTGTTAAAGCACAATGTTTACTTTTCGATCAGGATCGATATATTCAGGTAGAACGTAATCAAAACAGCACAACGAGAGTGTGCGAAGTATGTTATTGTCAATCGATATTCTAATAAAAATCAGTAATTTAAAGTTAAAAAGTTCACGCGTTCTGGTAAACAAAAACAGTAGTGAGTAATTTAGAGTTTAAAGTGCTGTACGATGCTTTGCTACGAAGGTAAGCTAAGCCTGTACTGCTTCGCCAGTTCAGTTTTCAGCCTTGCGTTATTGTGGATCTTTTTCGATTTGGGTGTGTTTGCCGGAGAGGTACAATTCTGGGTCAAAGTCGGTTTTCTCGGTGCCTACTATTTGGTGCTGAACGTGATCATCCGGTTGAAATTCAACACCAAAGACTATCAGGTGAGATTTATAGAATGATTATGCATTCAAGCGGCGATATGTATGTGAATGACTCAAAATAAATACCGCTGGGCAAATGGGGTGAGACAGTGGGAGAAAATGATGACTTCATCGAACGAGCAAGGTTCTACAATATGTTTTCGCCTTTAAGCTTACAATGCGCGTCTTTGTTTACTTCACGTTAAATAAATTACTCGAAGTAATGATCAAGGACGGGAAAACGGTGGCGGCAGCTGGGCGGTAGTTATTTTGGGACGGTTCTTCTTTGCTTTGAAATACATACAAGCCTATTTTTGTTTGGAGCTTTCTGTTTCCGAACTTGTTTTAAATTTATGTTAATCTCTTTTTCTCAGATTGCAGTTCGAGCAACGTTCTTGGGAGCGGTTTTCGCATTGGGGGTCATCATCTTCCAAAACTGTGACGATGAGTACAAATCGTTCGGGGTGTACGTCACGCTGATGTCGGTATTTCATTATTCGGAATATCTCGGTATAGCGTTCTGTAATCCGAAAACGCTGTCGCCAGATTCGTTCATCCTGAATCATTCGATTCACTATGCCCTGGCGGCGACGGCCAGCTGGGTGGAGTACTTCGTCGAGGTATACTTTTTCCCTGGTGAGTATTCGGTGCTATAACGGTCGTTGAGGTGCTACGAACTTGTCTACTTATAAACTAGAGATTACTACTAATCCTATTTCTTAGCCCTTAGTTTCTCTGATCAGTCCTGGCGTTCTCAGAGTTTCCCTGAAGTTCTCTCAATTCTCGTGAAGTTCTTCGTACGATCCTGAAATGAATGGAACTGTCCTGAAATCCTTTAAACTTTCCAGAAGTTCTCTGAGTTTTTGAGAAGTTTTCGAAATATTACTGATGATTTTTTTAAGTTGTATGGAGTTCTCTGGACATTTCTGAAATTCCCAGAGTTTCTTAAAGGTTCTCGAAATTTTCCAGAAGTTAATGGACTTTCCAAAAGTCACTGGCTGGAAGGTTTGAAGAAACTTCCGCGGAACATTGGAAGACATTTCCGGAGAAAGAAGAAAAGAACTTTCGGGAAAAGAAGGCGGAATCTTCCAGGACATGTCGGAAGAAGCTTTCGTGCAAAGCCGGACGTTCCAATTCTTATGAGTAACTAGGTTAAAGAGTATATCTGGTCACCCGATAAAAATGGTGGTAAGCTCCAACCGGTATTATCCTCGAATTAAATCTCGATCAAGAATGTCCGGCTGCTTTGATGTCAACATCAGAGTGAATAAACGCGACATTAAGCAAATATTTTGCAGACCATCCAAACAGGGACGGTATTAAAAGTTAATCCGAGTTGGAGCTTATCGCCATAACTGTTTCCCGATTCACGGGTAGCCAAAAATATCCGGGAAATGGAAACACTACTCCAGAATAATTTCTGAGAAGTTTTAGAAAAACTACCTACGAGGAAATTTCAAGAAAATTTTATGTTAACTACTAGGAAACTTCAGTCCAATTTCAGCAAATTACGAGGAAGTTCAGGGAATCTCACGAAAACTCTAGAAGATATTCCAGGGGAATTTTGGGTGACTTCAAGGGAACGTTTAGCCAATGTGATTATTTTAGGCAAATCTCTAGAATCATGGAAGAAAGAAAAGTCTTCCCGATTATAATCTAGGTAATAATCAGTTTAAATCTTTCTTCTAGAAATCAAAACCTACCGACTGTTGTGGTTAATTGGCTTGGTGCTTTGTTTCACTGGAGAAATCCTGCGTAAACTAGCCATGATCACGGCGAGTAACAATTTCAGTCACATTGTAAGTCTTTTCGAGCCTCAACCTATCACACAACTCTCTAACAGCTCGATTCTAATCTTTAGGTTCAGTTCGAGCGCCATCAGGGCCACGAGCTGGTAACTCACGGTGTGTTCAGTCTAATGAGGCATCCTTCGTACGTGGGATGGTTCTGGTGGTCAATCGGGACGCAGGTAGGTCGTTGAATAATCCTCCTAGAAATTCAGTTTTTTTTTCAATATCTCCACCCTGAACAGGTCGTCATGGCGAACCCAGTTTGCTTCATCATCTACACCCTCGCTAGCTGGAAGTTCTTCCACGATCGGATTTTCATGGAGGAAATCACGTTGCTGAATTTCTTCGGCGAGGATTACTACAAGTACCAGCAACGGGTGCCCACGGGACTGCCATTCATTAGAGGCTTCAAGGTGGACCTGTGATGTTTGGAGAACGATCATCCTCGTGAAGGGAACGGGGACGAAGGGGATAGGAACGAACAGGATCTGCCATTGCCTGATGAGACTGACCAATGGGCAACGAGCAGCGGTGGTGGAGGAAAGCGAAGGAATGAAAGTATGAGGATCACGTTGAAGGACAGTGACCAGGAGGAGGAGGAGGAGGACGAGGATGATCGTAGGAATATGACCGGGAGTTTTTACCACGGTCGCAATCGACGCTATTCCGGTAGCTATGACAATGTGTACGAGGAGTCGACGGTGGTTTAAAGGGTAAAGGGAGAGTGATAGTGGAGTGTGTTAGGACTTTTTTTTTCTATTGATTCGATTGTTTTTTTTTATACTCACACATTTTTGTTCCGTACTGCTGATTGGTTGAATAATTTTCAACTTTAAAGTCGAAAAAGCACAGTTGTCGAATAAGGAAAACTATAGTCATTAGATTAGGGAGCTGTGAAAATTGTAAATTTATTATCTGTCTCGAAAATATTTTCTTTCGGCGATTGAGGTTGGCATGCACTTAGCAGTGAATGTTTTCTCTTCGGTGCATACCACCCTAAATTGCGAACCTGTAAACTAAAACTTCCAGTGTCATCACAATCTTAACAAACCGTTCGTATAATTGTATTTAAACTAAATATTTTTCACACAACGCTTACGGAAAGACTTACTATCTTATGGTATACTAGTTGTCAGTTAGAGCAACACTCTGTCGATTTAAATTAAATGATTTCCACGCCACACCAATACGTATTTATTAGAAAAAGGAAATCATTTCAACCGAACAATGTTACGCTAAGCAACAAACACTTCGTCTACAAAATCAGGAAGCTGTTCGCGCAATAATCACACAATGAGATTCATTAAACTTATTTCAAACCCCCCAATGTAACCCAAAATAAAACGATACCGCTGTAAATAATGAACTGTAAAAGGACCTTAGCTTTTATCGATCCGAATCTTGGCCGATTCCTTGACGTTAAAGTTCGGTACGCGATCCTTCTTGCCCAGGATCTTCGTCGTCGGTTCCACGTAGTTGACGTTGCTGATGATGTTGGCAACGCGACGTTCGATGATTCCCAGGAAGAGCTTGGCATTGTTGAGCGTAACCTTGCGTTCGTTGTTCAGCAGGTTCAGGATCGGTGCCTCGTCACACAGGAGCAACCTGAGGGTAAGAATGAGTCGATTGAAATGGATTATTATTGACTAGATTGCGTGCTCTTACTTGTATATCCGCTCGGCAGTTCGGAGCAGTTCGTCCAGTTTGACGTCCCAGACCTGTTTGATTTCGAAGGCCGAGTCCGCCGCTTCCTTGCTTTCTTCGTCCTCCAAGCGCAAGGCGTCAATGTTGTCATCTTGGGAGTTTACCTTCGATTCGTTGATGGCAATTTGCTCGGCTGTATTGAAGGAAATGGGTAAGTAGCTAAACTGAAGGAAAATCTGCCATTATACTCACTGATCTTATCCTGCAGCAGCTGGACGCTCTCGGTCAACGTTTCCACCTCGTGGCTCAGCTCGTTCACGTAGTTGAACAAGGCAAAGTTCTCCTCCTCCTTCTTGATAAACTTTGCCACCAGGCGGTCGATGTCGTCCTCTCCGGAGAAGGCCATAATCCGCGACATGATCTGCTCGTATTCCGTGTACTGCTTCTCCAGGTTCTCCAGCATTTTCTGCCTCTTCTGGGCCTCCCGTTCCTCCAATTCTGCATTCGAACGCCGCTGACCCTTGATGCTGAGGAATTCCTGCAGCTTTGCATCGTGATCCAATTTCCGTTGCATTTCCCGCATCTCCTGAACGTGCGTTATCTTTTCGCTCTGTCCCTTGTCCTTCAAGATCTGCAACTTGGTGCACAGCTCCTCCCGTGTATCGTACGCGGACGTTGCTTGATCGATCAAATCCATCATATAACGCTTTCCCTCGTTCAGCTTCGCAACCAACTTCTCCCACATGATGTTGAACGTGGCCCTCTCCGTTAGCATGTGGTCGATGGTTTGCCTCAGTTGGGAATTCTCCGCCATGGCAACCCCAGCCTTCTTATTCACTACGTCCAACCGATTCTCCAGCTTCCTTACCGATTGCTGCGCCTTCGCAATCGTCTGATTGTACCGGATGTCGGTCATCTCATTCTTCCGAATTTCCGCTATTTCCCGGTGTATCTTCCGGATGTGACTCTCCAACTCCCGCAGTCCATCCTTTTTCGTTTTCAAATTTTGACTCCCCTTCTCCTGCTTCTCGTACGTCACCTCCAGCACCGATTCCATCTCCGTTTCCCGCTTTGAGTGCACTCCGTGCTCCTCGCAGTCCAGCTGTAGATGCAGCTGCTGTTTCTCCTTCTCCAGCGTTCGCATGTTGGCACGAAACTTGCGCATAGCTTTGTTCTTCGCATCCAGAAACGAGGCCCGCTCGATCTCCAGACTGCGGAGCAGCTTGTGCAGCCGGTTGCTTTCCGCCTCGGCGAGCTGCTCCATTTCGTACTGCTCGGCCGCTCCCATCTCGGAGGACATCTTCGGCTGGCTGGACATGGTGGCTGAGTGGTGTACAAAACTGGAAAAAAATATGTTACTAATTACTACAATAATAGGCTATACTAATTCTTCTTAATAGCGACTTTGCAGTCAATTTTAATTGTTTTATAAGAAAGTTAGAGGATACTGAGAGGTAACCACATATCATCGGTAACAGACGTGTGTAAGAAAATTTGCAAAAAAATCTAAAGGCACCGGTGAGATTCGAACCCACTATTACCATTCAGTACACGGAATTTCCAGTTTCTCTATTCATCGCTATAAGGACAATAGGAGGAAAAAGGCATTATGACAACACCAACCTGTTGATAGAGTTTCCCCCTCTGCGATCGATGATAATGTAACGGATTTTCCGGATTTCACCCCAACGTCACGAAGCTTTTTCCATTTCGGGAACAGCAACAGCGCACACTAGCAATCACAACAGTGTTTGCAAGAACACTTCTAGTAGCCGGTTTGTGTCTGCTCCGGGGGAAAGAACGCCCATACAGTTTTCCTCTCGACATACCGCCGGTGAAGTTCGTTCTCTCCACACAATCAATCCTAGTAACCGGCATTCCGCCGGTGAAGTCCGTCGAGATACCGTCATCATCACCGTCATCATCGCCGCAACAACCAGTATCGCTAAATCGGTGTGGAGCGTGAAGTAACCTCCCCCTTCCAAGGATGGGAGCGGATATCCGGGGGCAGCAGGTGGGACCTGTCACGAGTGTCTTGCATCTTCTACCTCCTCCTGGAATCCGGTCGAAATTTCTACTCGAGTGCACAGTTCATCATCATCGTCTTGTTCGTCATCACTATCATCCCCGGATAGTCGCCCTGGCGGTTGTTTTGCCCTGCAATGGAACCTGCGAGGACTACGGGCCAACATTAACGAGCTAAAACTCCTCATCGCCGACCATGAACCCTCCATTGTAGCGCTTCAGGAGACCAAGATGAATCAAAATGTGTTACAGCCAGACTTCGTTGGAAGGAACTACACGCTCCTCTTAGAATCGAACAGCGTACACCACTGGCAAAACGAGGTAGGCCTTGCTATCCGGGAAGATATACCTTTCGACCGTTTGCAAATCGATACCACTTTACAGCTCGTATATCACCGATCCAGATAACACTAGTATCCATCTATATTCCACCGAGTGCAGTCCAGGGTAGTCAGGCCGCACTGAATGAGTTGTTCGAGCAACTGGAAGGTCCGGTTATGTTTCTAGGCGACTTCAACGCGCACCATCTCGCTTGGGGGTCACAAACGTCGACTGCCCTCGGCAGATTCATTGCTGAAAAAACTCTGGACAAACAATTAGTGATTCTCAATAACGGCTCCCCTACTCGCATCGACCCGGCTACAGGTAACACTTCGGCAATCGACCTGACAGTTTCACCAAAATGATTATCGACGCAGCGACTAAATCCATACCACGAACCACCGGTCGTGTTGGACCAAAAGCGGTAATAATGTTTGCGATCCCTGCGACGTCTACGACTTTCCGACCCAGACCAACACACGAAGCATTGGCTAGATTACAGGAAGCCAGAGCAACGGCACGACAGGCTATCAACCAGGCCAAAACGCAATCGTGGGAAAACTTTGTAGCGAAAATCTTACTAACTAGCTCGACCACCGATTTGTGGCGGACGGTTAAAACTCTGCGCGGCAATCGACAACAACGCACCGTAGTGCTCAAGCGAGCAGATGGATTCACGGACAAGCCCGAAGAAGCAGCGGAGGAATTAGCGAAATGCTATAGTGGAAGATCAGCAACCTCTAGCTACTCTTCATCTTTCCAGATGGTTAAGACAGCAGCCGTACGAGAATCCATTGATCAAACACCGACACCGACCGATGATGTCTACAACATCGATATCACCCTTAACGAACTCCTGTGGGCCCTCGACAAAGCGCGAGGTGCTTCGACAGGTCCCGACTTAATTGGGTATCCGTTACTCCAACTTTTGCCACTGTCCGTGAAAATGACGCTTCTTGAACTTCTTAACAGAATCTGGAACGAGGGTGTGTTTCCCGTTAGCTAGCGGAATGTTGTCGTCGTCCCATTCCAAAACCGCACTGCCACGACTCCGGACCTGATGCCTTCCGTCCAATATCGCTCACCAGTTGCATGGCGAAGCTGTTCGAGCGGATTCTCAATCGTCGATTGACCACCGAATTAGAGTCGAGTGGCCGACTTGACAAACGTCAGCACGCTTTTTGTACAGGCCGTGGCACTGATACATATTTTGCCGAGTTGGAAAGATCACTGCCAACCCACGACGAACACTACCTTATAGCCTTATTGGACTTGTCGAAGGCATACGATACCACCTGGCGACACGAAGTTCTGCGCACACTAAAATCATGGCGATTACGTGGTCGGATGATTAATATTCTGCAAAGCTTCCTTTCGGAAAGGACGTTCCAGGTGTCTGTAGGAGGGCATATGTCTCGCAAACACCAGTTGGAAAATGGAGTACCACAGAATTCTGTCCTATCTTACTTAACTTACTTAACAAATTTCGGTCAACGTTCTTAATTTCACTGTTTAGGCTCCGCCACCACGAGCCTCTGGGTCTGCCTCTGCTGCGATGTCCTGCTGGATTCCAGTCCAGTGCTTGCTTGCAGATTTCGTTTCCGCTCCGTCGTAGTGTGTGGCCGACCCACCTCCACTTCCGTTCACGAATCTCTGTATCTATCGGCTTCTGATGGCACAAACGATGAAGCTCGGAATTTGAGATCCAATTGTGGGGCCACCAGGCACGAATTATGTACCGCAGGCATCGGTTAATGGTGCATGTTCCCAAAGAGAAGCGACTTCAGTGGGATGCGAAGTCTGAGCGGTGTATATTCATGGGCTACAGCGAGAACTCGAAAGCGTATAGGGTGTACAGTTTTAATGCGCAGAACGTAGTAGTTAGCCGTGACGTGATATTTTTGAGCGAAGACCGAATATTGCTGAAAGAGAAGTCGGATATTCACCACGCAGTATCATTGTATCGTATCAAACAGCTGATGGTAATAACGCTTTGTACATTCATATCAATGTGCTCGTCGAAGTTCTCTCCATGACCATCCATCAAGTTGACGAAAGAAGTAAAGAGCAACTGATGAATGTCGTCTGTTGTGATCCATCACCGATCTGGTCATTCCCAACATGCTCGTTTTGAAGCAGTTGCTGCTTTACTTGCTTATTTGAGTGTGTTGGTGAGTGAACCCAACAGCTTCCGTTTAATGTTGCCTGCTTTGTTTGTAACTCACACAGTCGCGCCTGCCGAGACGAACTTGGAATGCGTAGGCTTTGCTTTAATTTTCTTCTGTCGTTTCGCTTTTTCTCATGATCGTACTGCAGAAGTCTTCACTGTTTTCGTTGTGCTTTTCATCATCAGCAGTGAGTGTAACGTTTTGCTTGTGAGCAGCGACCATTACTGGTGATTGTTGTTTGTCATGGCTCTAACTCTCACTGCGTGACAAAACGATCTGTAGTCGGTTGATGCGAAGACGAGTGTCACGTGAGTGTCATGATATTTTGCATCACTTTGTTCGTGAGAAACTGGAAGAGAAGATTATCCAGTTGGAGCACGTTGGTAGTCATCTTCAAACAGCAGATCTTCCAACAAAGGCGGTGCCGGTCCCTAAACTTGAAGCTGGACGACGAACAATAGGGATTTGTAGAATTCTCGGTTATGGGGGGATGATGGAGAAGTAACCGGTGAATTTACCACAAGCTGTAGCATGCCTTGATAATATGTACACCACTTTTCTGTATTTCGTTCAAAACGAAATTCTCATTAAAAAAAACTTTTTTTTTGTATAGGTATTTCGTTTTGAACGAAATACAGAAAAGGGTGGTAGTAACGAATAAATTTAGTTTCAATTCATCAATCACACTTAGCAGACCTATTCACTCAATTGTCTCATTAATCATTGAATAAATTTGATTGTAAAGCTGTTTGTTTAAAAGCGTTGTCATGTCTTAAAAACGTTTGTTGTTGTTGTTGTTGTTGTTGTTGTTGTTGTTGTTGTTGTTGTTGTTGTTGTTGTTGTTGTTGTTGTTGTTGTTGTTGTTGTTGTTGTTGTTGTTGTTGTTGTTGTTGTTGTTGTTGTTGTTGTTGTTGTTGTTGTTGTTGTTGTTGTTGTTGTTGTTGTTGTTGTTGTTGTTGTTGTTGTTGTTGTTGTTGTTGTTGTTGTTGTTGTTGTTGTTGTTGTTGTTGTTGTTGTTGTTGTTGTTGTTGTTGTTGTTGTTGTTGTTGTTGTTGTTGTTGTTGTTGTTGTTGTTGTTGTTGTTGTTGTTGTTGTTGTTGTTGTTGTTGTTGTTGTTGTTGTTGTTGTTGTTGTTGTTGTTGTTGTTGTTGTTGTTGTTGTTGTTGTTGTTGTTGTTGTTGTTGTTGTTGTTGTTGTTGTTGTTGTTGTTGTTGTTGTTGTTGTTGTTGTTGTTGTTGTTGTTGTTGTTGTTGTTGTTGTTGTTGTTGTTGTTGTTGTTGTTGTTGTTGTTGTTGTTGTTGTTGTTGTTGTTGTTGTTGTTGTTGTTGTTGTTGTTGTTGTTGTTGTTGTTGTTGTTGTTGTTGTTGTTGTTGTTGTTGTTGTTGTTGTTGTTGTTGTTGTTGTTGTTGTTGTTGTTGTTGTTGTTGTTGTTGTTGTTGTTGTTGTTGTTGTTGTTGTTGTTGTTGTTGTTGTTGTTGTTGTTGTTGTTGTTGTTGTTGTTGTTGTTGTTGTTGTTGTTGTTGTTGTTGTTGTTGTTGTTGTTGTTGTTGTTGTTGTTGTTGTTGTTGTTGTTGTTGTTGTTGTTGTTGTTGTTGTTGTTGTTGTTGTTGTTGTTGTTGTTGTTGTTGTTGTTGTTGTTGTTGTTGTTGTTGTTGTTGTTGTTGTTGTTGTTGTTGTTGTTGTTGTTGTTGTTGTTGTTGTTGTTGTTGTTGTTGTTGTTGTTGTTGTTGTTGTTGTTGTTGTTGTTGTTGTTGTTGTTGTTGTTGTTGTTGTTGTTGTTGTTGTTGTTGTTGTTGTTGTTGTTGTTGTT